AGTGAGTTAGGTAGAGACTTAGCTTTAGCGATACATTTTTAATGTAAAGTATACATATATTTAATAAAGCACACATATCTAGTCTGACAGAGGGTTTAAAAAAATATATATATATTTAACTACAATATAGATCTGTGGGTCTATAGCACAGTGGTAGTACTCCCAGGTCACAATTACAAGATCCATAGTTCAATACCACATGAGGGCCATGTGAAAGATTTAAGGAATAGAAAAACTGTCTATGACACAAAACACAACCAGGTTTAAGAAAATACTGATCATCTCTATTCCGGTTTCATACAAACAGTGTTTTCCCGCTTCCGGTTCTAAGTGGGTTTTCTCTCTATAAAAGGCACAATCTACATGGCTGAACACAAACAAATCTGGAAAAGATATCAAAACTGGTAACAGCGCCATGTTTATCAAGAACCATTTGAAAGGTGTACTTTTTCTTTTACGGAACTAGCAAGTCAAGCCTGGCAAGTTAGTTAGGAGGAATCCGGAAGGATTGAAGATCCAAAAAATAGGGGTGTCTAGATTTCCTAGATAGGTAGTAGTAGAAATTTAATCCGACCGGATATTTCCGGGCAACAAGCCATCCAGTGGATCCTTTAAAAGTAGGGTTCTAGGAATGTTTGTCAACATAAATGATATAAATATGTATTCCCTGCAATTAAAATTGTAAATTACTATATCAAGTTAATAAATGAGGCTGAGCTTCCATTCCAACACATTTAACTACAATATATTAATGTAAAATAAATTTACTTTCTTTTGTATCATATATTTTTCTAAGTATGATACAAAACTTTTTTTAATATTTTTCACCTGTATGCATGCTCCAGATTTGTACAAAATTTAATATTATATAATGTATTTTTCAATCACTGCTGATAAAATATGCAGTTATCATTAGAAATGTTTTCATTGAAGTTGATATTCAAATATCGAGGATGAATGAAATATGACTCTCCATTTCTTGCAAAATTTTTTTAATTTTTTCTTGATCAACCAAGTATGAATCCATTATATATGTTTTAATAGTTGTAGCAGCTTATATTTTAGTTTTTTGTGAGATTTAAAGAATAAATGTTCAGAATACTGGCTTCTCTATAATCGTAAAAGAGTATTGGTTTATGACAATCCATCGAATAAGATTTTGTTTTACTTTTTCAGGTTCATGTATTTACTATATAAAAAACAAATTTTAGCTTGGTTTTGAATTTAATAAATATATTTATACTGACCACTATAGTATTAAAAAATTTTCGATTAAAGGTTTATTGGAATGTGGATTTATTTTTATCAGGTGGTTTTTTTCTAAGTGTTTGAAAAAATTAGAGATGTTACCTCCACTACAAGTATATTTGGTGTTGCAATAATTGCAGGAAACTTTTTTACTTTCATTGAAATCAGAATCCTTTGTAAAATGGTTCCACACTTTACTTCTATAATTTATTTTATTACTTGATAATATTTTTGAAAAACTACTTGTAACAACATTACTGGTATCACTCGATTGGTAGTTATCTAAACTGAAACTTTTATCATTTATTTTATTGGAATTATTGAAAGAACTATCATATTCCATTTTATTTTTGATGTAAATAATACTAGTAATGTTACAAAGAGAAAAATAGTATAAAAAATATTACAAAATTTTAAAGAAACATGTAAAGGTGTTAAAGGAATATAAAAAAAAAATTCAGGTGGGTTTTTTTTTAATTATCTTAAATAGCTACATTTAAATATAGTTAAACTGCTGAATTTTATTTGAATCTGGCTAGATTTTAAAACTTAAAATCTGATCAAATATAAAATTTAAAATCAGATTGGATCGGATTTCAAAATTTGAAATCCATATCCAATTCGTATACAAATGGAGCAAAAAATTTAAAATCTGATCTGATTCATTTGGATTAAATCTGCAGATTATTCGGATTTGGATAAAAATTGTAATCCTTAACCATGACAAATAAACTTATTACTTTATATTGCTTATATAGAATGAATTAAAATTAAAACACAAATTTTTAAAATTTAAAATTTAAAAAATAAAGGTTTTTGTTCAATTTTGGATCTTTTGAATAATATTATATCTTCAATTTTGGATATTTATACAAATTTATTTTGACATAATCATTTTGAGTATTATTATGAAATAATATTTCGATTATAAATATTTATGAAAAGATGTAATTGAAGAAATTATGATAAAATAATATTAGTTTTTTTGTCAGATATTCTTCAATAGAATGAACAAAAACATTCAATAATTGAAATATTTTTTAAATATTTTAATATAATTGACGAATATCCTGTAGAAAATTTTTATAGTCTTGTTTGTAAAAATACTACTTCAAAATTAACAAATTTAAAAACTCTTAGACAATATAGTATTTTTATAGATTATGAAAAACATGAAAATAAATTTATTGAAAATTTTATAAAAATAAAAAAATATCCACTTTCTAAACCTCAATTAGATTCTTTATATATTTCAACAAATATTTTTCTTTTAGATTTTTTTAAAAATTTTTATCAAAAACAAAATGAATTTAAAATTGAAGAAACAGTAAACAATCTAAAGTTTATATTCCATCAATTGAAAAAAATTTTGAAAAAGGAATTCTTCTATCAGCATATCATACTGATCAAATTTCAAGCAAAGAAAAACCTTGTGATTTACAATCTTGCAATTATATGGATCCAAATATTAAAGTTTTAATATGTGGACATGCATATCATTTTATATGTTTTATTAATTTATTGGATTCTGCTTGCAATTATTGTTTTTAATATTATAAATTATCAATTGAAGAATTATCAAAATCTTTTAATTCTCGATTAACTTCTGAAGAAAATAATTATGAAAATGAAGAAAATAAGATAAAATTGATAATGATATTATTAATATTGAAGAAATTAATAATGATGAAATATTTGAAAACATTAATTTAAATGAAGATACTCTTAATGATAAATTGACAATAGCTATTAATGATTTTAATTCATTAATAAATGAAGAATTATCATTAACTAGCTTTAAAAGACTTTCTATTGATCCTTTAGAAAATATAATTCAAAATGATAATAATGAATCTTCTTATTCTTCTAATAAAAGAAAAAGAAATTCATATCTTACTAATTCTGTTAAAAAAAAATAGTTTATTCATGTTTATTATTTATTTTATTATTATTTATTATTATTTCTATTTATTTTTTTATTTAATAATTTTTTTTTTTTAAAGAAAACTAGTCATATTTACTTAAAAAAATGACAATTTCTTTTATTTAATAAAAAAATTTATAAAATTTTAAATTTTAATTGACAAATATTAAATATTTATATATCTAAAGTTTTGATCTATTTTGTTTTAAAATAATATTAACTCCGCGGGACATTAGTAAAGACCGGCGATTTCGCGCAAACTTCGCGAATTTTGTTACGTGTCGATCATTAATTTTAAACACGTGAATACGTATATTTTTTATATTAATGTAAGGGGTCCTCGTGATTCGGAAAAAATCACTAGAAATCATTGTATGTGGACCTGTACAAGCGACGCACTCGGGGAACTCCCCCTGTGCAATCCAAAATAGCAACTAAAACTCTGCTTGGGGCATGTAGTTCAATGCATTTTCAAACTTAACAAGTTCTCGTTTCCAATTGAAAAGATCTCACGAGTAACATAACTGTATGTTATATAACAAGCAATACAGCCAATTCTGAGTTTATCTGAGATATGCAAACGTTTAATTAAACTGAAATCGAGCATGGCATTATTAAAAGGTAGCATATTTTTTGTACCGCAAGACAAGAATAACGCATGAATATATCGAAAGGAAATTCATTACGAGATTAGGAACACTTAAACATGAAATGCTAAAGGTAATTAATTTACAATAAACTACATAGAAACGATATACTGTAATTTTGTTTATTGAACACTAATTACAAGAGAAAACACACCGATATATTGAATAAATAATATTAAAATTTAACTGTAATCACCAGGAATAATAGATTCACATCCATTTTCGCTATGACCGGTATCGCACTTTGAAGTGTCAGTACAACAACGAATACAGAATAATTCAATATCAGGCTCGACTAAGTTCACAAATTTATCATAATTAGCACAGATTGCGCCAGGAGGAGCACCTACACTATCGTACTGACCACCCTTATCACTTGCTTTTAAACCATATGCGTCTCTGTGAATAGTGCCAGTGACCTGAATATAACCATCTCCAGTGGCGAAGTGATATGATTTTATGAATCCGTCGGGAAAGATTCTGGCACCAGGTGCATTTGGACTAGGCTTATTGCAAAACGTGATGGCATCACCTTCACTGCCACTGACGTCACCACCATAGTTTGGTGGAAGAAATGAACAGAAAATAGAACCATTTTCTAATGTTGCGGTGATGTTTTCTTTATTTCCAGGGTCGCGCGAATATGGTATGCTTATAGCAGTGGATGTAATAACCAAGAATGCCAACAGTAAAAAGGACAATTCAAATAGTCTGAACATTTTGTAATAAAAAGATGAAACGAATATTGGTGAATTTTTTTCTCGATGCTTATATAGAGAAATTGTTTAAATAAACGTATTGTATTCTTTATAATCTAATGACAGCCATCTTAACGTGTACTATCAGTGTGTTAGAACTACTATTCAAGGTCTCTTACTTTATCTTCATAAGGAATAACAGCTATTATTTTTAGGAACATTCCTATTTTAAGTTTTACACTTTGTACCATTTAAAATGGTCTTTTTAGATTTCCACAAAATCAAGCCTCTTCATATTATGCTCTAAGAATATCAGATTAAACAAAACAATAAACATTACGTTAATAAAATTAAAACCTAAATCTTTGACTTTATTTAATAATATAAATCTTAAACTTAAAGAAAGCCTTACGAACTCACAAGAATTATCCAAAATGAAAAAAGCACAACTATTATTTTTTTAAAAAACGTGTTAATTGAAATATTGGTATAGATATCTCGTTTAGACCGCTAAGAAATTTATTACATTACACTCCACTAGGAAATTCGTTTACCAAAATAACTATATTTATACATATTACAATGAAATAGATCTTTGATTAGATCGACACGTGCTTAACCTATTGTTATGATATATTTGGCTTGGCTCCACGAATATGAAATAAGGATTATGAAGGTCGAAATTAGTTAGATTCTGTGAATTTATAAGCCTCAGTTAGCATACTAAACTTAGCCTCAACTTTTAGGCTTCTGGTGTATCGAGTTTTAACTAAGTTTAGTGAAATGACGGGATAGAATTACGCATAATGAGAATTTTTTAAATAAAGTTTATTCAAAATGAAATATCTATTGTTAAAATCATTATATTCTTTTTTCTGCTAAAAAATTTCGACATTATTATTTCTAGATCTTTTTTTTTTTTTTTTTTTTTTGCCACAAATCAAGCATTAGATGCATATCTTTATAAATAAGAAATCAATTGACTTTGTATCCAAGTATAAGTTATTAGTAACTTATTGTGATTTTATTTACAGATATACAATATATAAATATTTTGTGAGTAATTATTACTTGAAGAGACCAACACCCGAACTACTAAAGGAGCGATAAATCACTCCCGAAGTTGCACTTAAAGGGTAATACAACCAAGATGAGTGAGTTAGAGAATTAGCTTTAGCATCTCATTTTATATATACAACTTACAAACATTTATAAAGCATACATAATTAACTTGACAGAGGGTATTTAAAAAAAAAATTACTTAAGGAGATCAAATAACTAATATTGTAAGTTTCTAACACTATATAGTTCTTTCAAAAAGTAATAATGCTTAAATTTTTTGCTATAAAATTTTTTTTATTAAATTAATTGATTTCAAAATTTTAAGACTAAAAATAACAATAAAATTTAATATATATATATTTTTTTTAAAAATAGGTGGCGTACGCCTTGTTTATTAGATATTCATTTAATGAGTATGTACAAATCCGTTTTATACAAATTTACCTCTCTGACTATCTAATTAAACTTGTTAAGAAAGAAATTTTTTCTATCGCACGACTTATTGCCAAGTACTGGTATATACTTGGCTAATTTGCCAAGGCTCTACCTGTCCCAGAAAATTGTGTGTTAGTATCGTAAAATGTGTTCCAGGTTGTCCACGAGTGAAAGGAGAGGGCCATGATGTCGTTAACTTCTGTGATGTAGGATTTTGTATTAAGTGGTTTGGATGCATTTGTTTTCCAGATTTTTTTGTCTTTTTTCCCTATATTATTGTTTTTTTCCCATTCAATGAATTGGTTGCATCTATTCTGCCAGATGTTGTGAAGACTGGTGAGGAAGTGATCTAAGATGTTTTGGATTATTTTTTTGTAATGCTCTGTCTCTGAGTGTTTCTTTATTGTGTTGATTAATTGTCTCGTGAGTGCTCCTCTTGTTATGTATTGCTTTATTTCATTTGTTCTTATGTTTTTCAGTTTTTCGAGTTCTTTATTTAGGTCGTGTCCTTTCTTTTTCTTTGCTCTGCTGCTGACTTCGTCATTTATTATTTGGTTTAAAGATTGGAAGATGTTATTGGGTTGTTTGTCACAGAGCATTACGTGTGTATTTGTTTCTACTTGTTGACAATTGAAACATATGTTATTGGTGTAAGTTGTTACTGATCTTTTGTGAAGTTTGTCTTTGATAGGGAGTTCCAGGTTCCATAGTTTGGATCTGAAAGCTCTGATGTTGTGGTTTGTCTGATTTGTTTCTCCTGTTGTGAGTTTGGATGGTTGTCTATGAAGGAGTGATTCTGCCCATGCGATGTTTTCTGCTGTGTGCTGAGAGGTAGCTGTGAGGTTTCTGTCTAGCATTCTCCAACTGAGGATATGTTTTGCATGTGTGAGTGTTTTGATTGCTCCTTTGATGGTGTTTTCGATCATTTGTCCATTCTATTCTTGTGTCCATTTCGTTTTGTTGTCTCTAATGGAGGTGAATATTATCTCATGGGATGTGTTGCCTATTGTGGCTTCTTTTGCTAGCAAGTCTGCTTTATCATTGTTGAGGTCATTGTTGTGTGCTTTAATTTTTTCCCAGTTTACTATGATTTTTTGATTTTGGGTTATGTGTATTATTGTATTAATCAGGTTATTATTTTTGAGTGTGCTGAGTGTTGTATAGTTTTTTGTGACTTTGGTGATTGCGTTGATTGCTGCCTAACTATCACTGCAAATTGTGATTTTGCTGTCCGGAGGTATGGTAGTAAGGAGTGTTGCTATTGCTGCGAGTTCAGCTCTAGTGGATGATGGGAATTTGCTTATTTTCCCTTGGAAGCTTGTCTCTGGGAGTTCCAAGATATGCCATCCGAAGTCCATTCGTAGGTCTTGATCCATTGAACTATCTGTATAGGCTGTGATTTTTTTTATTTTGTTTAGTCTGTATCGAATATGTGCTAGTTTGTTAAGTGATGCCTCAGTTGTCGTCAGATATCTTGTGATTGTGTGTTTAATGATTTCTATTGAGTCATTTGTAAGTTGTGGTAGGGGTGGAATGTGTGGATGCGTAAATTTGTTATCAATGATGCTGTCTAGACTATTTGGTGAAATTCTGCTTCTATGAAGGAGATTGGTGTTCGGTGTGGTTCTGGAGCTTGTTCTGCTTTTGTGGACTGGGATAGGTATCAGACTGTTATTGCTTTCTTCAAATATGCATCTTCCTTGGGTGTCTTGTGTGTTTATTGTACATCCTTTCCATTCTTTTAGTGATGACTGATTGTTGACTCTTTTATAGTGTTGAAGCTTGATAGTATTATAGTTTGATGAAATTTTGTGGCCAATGGTGCTTTCATTGTTTTGTTTTGATGCTAACTATTTGATTTCTTTTTTTGGTGTTTCTATTGCTAGTTTGTAATTCAGTTTTTGATATGTGTTTTTTATATGTCGTTCTTGTATTTTTGTTAATATTGTTTAATTCGTTTCGATGTCCTGGAACCAGATTGGCTTTTTTTTGTTGGGTTTTTGTTTGGTATGGTGATTTCTACCCATGCTACCATTCGTAATCCTGAGAAGTTGGTTATTTGGTTTAGAAACATGATCTGATTTTTGGCAAGTTGTTTCCTATGTTTGTTATATCAATCGGGATCTATTAATTCTTCGATTGTTGTGTCTGTTTTGATTGGGGTTTTACATGTATTTGTCATTCCTGTGAATCCATGTTGTCTTAAAAGAATTATTAAGTCATATGTGAAATCATGTTCTTGTGTCAGGAAGGGGTGTGTCAGATGTGTGCTTGCAACGGAGTTGGTTGACCATTATTGATTTTGGAGCTCCTGGAGATGCATTTTGCTGATTTTCCCTATGGTGTTTGGTTTGTTGATTCTTTTTTGCCAATTGGTTGCGTGGAGTAGGAGTTGTCTGTCCCATATATGGAAGAATTCATATTCTAGTGGATTGTACAGGATGCAGTTGGGTGCTTTGGACGAGAGATTTAGTTTATGTTTGTAAGTTTGACCCAGCATTATCATTATTTTATTATTTTGTTGTTCTGTAATGACTAGATCTGAGAGGAGATAAGTGATTGATGGTGTCCAGACTTGGTTGTGGAGGTATCTGAGCTGTTTATTTGTTGCTACTTTCCATTTGATGGTATTGTTGTATTTTTTGGTTTTTTCCCCGATTAGTTGTTGTTGATACAGTTTGGAACCTTTTCCTTTGATGAAGATTCCAAGGATTCTTGCTGGTTGATTTGAGTTCAATACTTGTATTGGTTGATCTTGAATTGTTATATTGGCCTTTGTGTTTTTTGTCTAATTTAGAATTATCAAATTGGATTTGTTGTGTTGATGTTAATGTTATTGATGTTAAAGAAGTCTGTGTATATGTCGCAAGTTTCCTGTAGGCTTGTTTGGTTGTCTGAGATTATGGTTGTGTCGTCTATGTAAGCTATGCAGGATATGTCTAGGGTTGTCATGGGTGGAGTGGATATTATTTCGGACCATTTTTTTTCCTTGAGAGTGTATCCTTTTGTGTGTTTGACAATCTGTGAGATCAATGGATCGTAGAAGATTCTCCAAAGGAAGGGGGATATTGTGTCTCCTTGATCGATTCTGTCTTTTACGATGTACTGTGGGGATGGGCCGAAGGGTGTCAGGACTTGATTTTGTTGGTTATCACAAATGTTGGTTATTAGCTGGATTATTTTGTTAGGGACCCACAGGCTTAATTTATAATTTTATTAATTCAAAACTGTTATATTATTACAAATGAGCAGTTTTACATATATGTTATAGTAAATCATTTTTTTTTTTTTTAATCCACCATCAGGCTGACACAGCTTATCTTTATTATGTATTTAAAATATTATACAATTTCAAAGATTTTCACATGACAGCTCACCCGTCTTAGAAGTTTATCTTCTCTAGATGCAACTTAGGAGATGATATTTTGCTCTCTTAATAACTTGGATTATCCTTTAGCTATTAAGTTCATTGCTTACAGGTCATCACTGTAAATATGTTATAGTAAATCATATTTATATGGATAGCTATATATATATTTAACTAATGCTATGTATCACTACTACCAGCCTAACCTCAAACTGGAAGCCTGCGCAATTCCGTCTTAATTATTCCTAGAACAATTTTTTATTAAGAGTATTCTAGTTATCAGGCCATCAATTCAGTATCCTGGATCCCAGTTTTTGATCCTTCGAAGTGGTCCGCGGATTTCTCCTCCCATCAAGGCCTCCTGATAGTCAAGTTTGTAAAAGTCGGCACAGTCACATGTATGAGAACCGGGACTGACTTATTATGAAAGAGTCTTTTTCTTGAGCACGAGTTCTTTTTGTATTAAGCCATTTGTGTCCCTAGACAAGTTGTTTTTTCTTGTTTTGGTCCTGAGAGGCATGCTACTGGTTTTGAGGATCTACTCTTATTGCTACCATTTCTGGTAATGCGGTTGTGTCAATCATAATCCTATCCTGATTCAGATCACAACCTGATCACAATCTAGATATAGACCGGATGCTATATTTAGAAACATCGGTTAGTTTACAGTTACGCCAATGAATGGATTCAATTCCTCGTATCAGTTTTGTATTGAGGTGGAATTGAAACTGGATCTTGTGATCTGACCTATGGAGTGCTAACCACTGCACTATTGACCCATAGGTCCAATAAAATTTAATATAAAATATATATTATTTAAATTAACTCTTTACGCTGATCCTCTGACCACACACAAAAAAGATGTTCACAAGAAGTTTTATACTTCTATGCTAATAAAGTCTTACCACTTTCCTTAAACCAACTTGAAGAAACTTCAAGAACCATCAACTACTTCCCTTCCTCTTGTCTACTACTCTCTTCAAACAAAAACTTGACCTCTAGTGACCTTAACAGGTTAAGAAAAACCTTTTCTACCAATGGCAAGAAAGTTCTAAAAGGAAGAAGAACTAATGTGCTGTCATCTCACACTGTAGAGAAATACCACAGAAGCTTGTGTCTGATGAGAGACAACTTTCCTACTCTCTTGTCAGTGTTGTCGCTTCTCATAGTGCTTGTTCTTGGCTTTCTCTGGGGGATTTTGCCTACCTACGTTTGACCCTGAATTTTGAGTAGCACAAAATTTCTCACATCGTGATTGGACAGACAGAGATCACATTAGTAAAAGAATGTAAACAAGCTTCCATTGGTCATCTCACGTGTCTGAATGCATTTTCCCAGCTTCATAAGAACCTGGGGTTCACTGTAAGTCATTTGGTTTAGGTGCGAGTGGATACAGGACACAAACCTATCACATCACTAGAAATCCGAAAGAGTCTGTCCAACCACGGTACAGGTCACAAGATGCCTCAATTGGTTTTAATACTGAGGTCACCTTCCTTTGTTGCGAAAAGGTTCCATCAGCTCCTCTGAATAGATAAAGATTTAGCAACAATGGCCCAGCTCTACTACTCTAGAAATCCAAATACCTATCGTGATCTCAGGAGGTAATAGAAAGAGAAACACCATAGGAAGGATTTCACTCTTGTCAAAAAAGTACAACTAGAAGGTATTGGGAGATCTCAGGATCATTCGTACTAGCTGCAAAAAACACCATCTCAGAATTGGAAGAAATCCTTTGCCCACATATCAAACACCATTTCTTGACTAGCTGATCTACACACTGGCCACGGTATGGATCGTGGCAGATGGATACCCTCAAAAGATAATAGTAACAAGAAACTTTTGGTTAACCCTTGAAAGAGTCGCAAGCTTCAAGAACTCTGATAAAACAGATTTTAGATCAAGTGAAGGACAACAGAAGACAGACTTTTTCAAATGGCCTTCCTTTATAGTGCAAACACCCTTCCTACACCCTAAGTTCTGACGACACAACCTACATGGCCAACCAGAAGATCTTCTTATGAACATCCAAGGGGACTAAATCCATATTTCAAGAGGTATAGTTTTATAGAACCGATAGTGGAAGATTAACATCGATGCTATAATGGCAACACCACATCCCTATAACTTCAGAAACCCCTGTGCTTTATATTATCACCCCTATAAAACCTGTATAGACACTCTAGACTTAAGATCAATAAAGTAATTATTTCTGGACCACTGTAATTTTACTTTTTATTTTTTATTTTTTTTCTCTTCCTTTAAACAAAAAATTTTTTGGAGGGGCAGGTAGAGCCCTGGCAATAGTCAAGGATATGCCTGTTAGTGGCAATAAATCAAACGGTAGTTCTTTAGCTAAATTTTTTAGATAGCCTGAGTGGTATATATGAATAAGCCCTACGCACCCATTTGAGCGGTAGCTATGGGGAGTAATTATATGTATCTATATATATCTAATAAATAAGGTATAAGCCACCCGTTTTAAAAAAAAAATATATATACAGTATATTATTTAAATTTCATTAAGTTATATTTTTTTATATATTTATTAAAATTTTAATTCATTTTTTTTTAATCTTAGTTAAAATAATATAACTTGCTTTTATTATTAAAATTTCAATTCAATTTTTTAAATATAATATATATTTACTATATATAGTATATAATAACTCATAAAAGTTTTATATTACCTATCAATTTTTTATTAACAAATATAATATAAAACACTTGATATAAAAAAATTATTTTGCTATTTTATTTATAAATTAAAAATTTATTAAATAACTATTATTTCTAGAACAATATGATTTATTTTTAAACAAATCATAAATTTTATTTTTTTTATCTAATCTATTATTATATTACAATAATATATTTTTATTAAAAAATTGAAACAAATTTATAATTGTTTATAGATTTTATAAAGTAACTAACTTATTATTATATATACTGTATATACCTTAAATCAAATTTTAAAAACAATATTATACTCTTCTTAAACAATTTGAATTAATCTTTATTTATTATAATTATTTTTAATAATTTGTCACTATTAATTAATTTAAAAATTAATAAATTATTAAAAAATATATATAAAATAAAAAAGAAAACAATTCAAGATTCTATTAAAAATTCAAAAACAAAACTATTTTTTTTTTTATTTATTTAAACCTCAAAAAAAAATCTTTTTGATTATTATCTATAATATTAAATAAATTAATTTAATTAATTCATTATTTAAGTAAGTATTAAATTAGAATATTTCAAAAAAGTATAAATATTTCAACTTTTATTTATTAAAGTATTGTTAATATTTGAAAAATTTAAATAAGAATAAAAAATTTATAATTTATATTATTTATCTTTTAATTTTTTGATATTATAAATATTTTTCTTAAAAAATTTAAACTTTTGAATGTAAATATTTTTAAGCAATTTTTTAATTATTAATAATATTATTAGAATATATAAATATAATTAATAGAAGTTTATTTATATTTTATAAATTAATATATTTTGTATTGGTCAATTATTTTTGATAAAAATTTATACTATTCAAAATTCAAAATAAATTGAGATAGGTAAAATTTTTCAAAAAGTTATGAAAATAAAAACTTTATGAAAACTAAAACAATCACTATAATAAAAATAATTTTTTTTTATTACAAATAATTTCTATAATTTCTTGCTTTAAAAATTTGAAAAACTTTTAAATACTTAATAATTGGGGGTTTTTTTTTTCTTTAAAATTTTTTTATTATTGGTATTAAAAATATTACTTAACTTTTCTTGCTTGTCAAAAGTTAAGTTTTTGAGTAAAAAAATTTATAAATAAGAGAAAAATAATAAAATTGATTTTTAATATTATATTTTAAGTTGTTTTAAGAAAAGTATTAAAATTTTTTAATAACAAAGTAAAAAAACTTTTTACAAATATTTTTTTTATAAATAATCAAAAAATAATCAAAAAATAAATTAATTATTTTAAACTTTTATATAATATATATTTTTATTAATATAATAAATAAGTTTATTTTTAAAATTTTTTAAATTTTAATATTATGATTTTATGTAATTTCAATTTAAAATAAAAATTTTATAAATAAATAATTTTAAATAATTATAAAAATTAAATTATTAAAATAATAAAAATTATTATTATTATTATTTTAACTCTCTATCAAGTAATTATTTTTTTTTTTGAGTACTCATAGTTAGGCTAGATCATCAATTTATTAATCAATTGAAAACAAAAGTATATTTTCATTTGAGCAGCATGATACATACTATAGCTAAACTATTAATCTAATCTAACTAACTCGTCATAAGCATAAAAGCCTCTAAGTTCAACCTTGGAAATAATATTTCGCTCTGCAGTATCTTTAAGTAAAAACCCTTCTAATCCACTATATTATTGTCAGCAGGTTATCACTGCCATATATCTGATCAAGCTATTGAAATATAGGAAATTACAAAAAGATGGATTGAAAAAAGAGGAAAGGGGATATCTAAAAATATATAAGTAGACTACAAGAAAATGAAAAAGTAAAAATTGAAAAAATATTTCCAGCTTTCTCCAAAGACCTACTTCTCAAGACCTTCTCTCAATAAGAAATGTTTGATTGGAATATCCTTTCTTTTCCTGACCATCTGAGGAACTTATCCATTTTTAATTTTAATTTTCTTTTTGTATACCATCTGAGGAGACTTATTGCTTAGTAGAAGCCTTTACTTCCAGGATACACTTGATTCCAACCTTCTTTGAACAATGATTTTTTATTCACCTGTGATGAAAAAATGACTTATTATAGATCCCAGGTTCTTATATGATCTAGTAAAACTAGGCAATGTTGTTTTAGTGTGATACCTTTCAACAGCCACACCTAATTAAAAAAATTTTACTGGCTCTCTATCAAGTAGTTATGTATACTTTATTAAACAATTATAGACTATATATTGATATGTAATACTAAAGCTAAATATTTAATTAACTCACTTATCAAAGTTATTATCTAAATCTCTAAGTACAACTTTGGAGATGATTTTTTGTTTTGTTAGTAGTTTAGATAAAAACTCACTCTTTTAATTTCTAATATTATCACCTATAAGTTACTACTATAAATTACTTTGTGAAGTTTTGATAAAGATCAAATCCAACCATTTTATCCCATATTTAATCTCATTTTTTATGATTTCTACAGGGTTTTTATTTTTTACTCTTTCTTTCTTCTTCACTTTGACTTGTAGTTTCATGGTTGGAATTATTTTATAGAATATTTTGCCTTCTTACTTTCTGGATTTTTTTGTATTTTGCTCTTCTATTGATTTTTTGCTCTTGTTTTTATTCTATAATCTTTTCATATCTTATATTCCAAACTTGTTTATGAATTTGATTGCAAACCTTTTTTTGTACTTTTAAGATCCATTTTTTTGCTATTGTTTCTAGCTTCTTATTATAACAATTTAAATTGACAGATTTTTTAATTATATCACTTTCTGCTAATTCTACATAAAACTAAATATGTTTAAACCAGTTTTTGAGATTATTTCTATAAGTTTAGAGACCCATCTATCTATCTTATCTTTTTCTATTTTACTGTTGATTATATTTTTTTATTGATATATATTTATTAATTAATTAAATTTTATACTACTTAAAATTTAGGATTAGACTAAAATAAGTAAAATTCTTTAAAAAAATTAAAAAAAAGTATTATTAAAGTTCAACAAGTGACAAGAGAGTGAATGTTATATATTTAATATAAGTTTTTCATTATTAGACAAAACTCTATAATATTTCTTTATATTTAAAAGGGTAGTAAAACTTCAGTTCTTCTTCTTTTTAAAACTTTTTTGCTATTAATAAGAAGAATATTTTATAACTTTGTGATCACAGAGTTAAGTTTTTGTTGAAGAAGAATGTTAATAAGTAAAGAAGAAATTGAAACAATACTTGAAGTTTTTTTCAAACTAATTTAAAAAAAGTTGTAAAATTTTATTAATCAAAAAGTATAAAAACTTTTTTTTTGTATATAATCAAAAGATTAGTAAAAAGATTTATTCTAAAAAAAAAACAAATTAAATAAAAGACTTAAAATATACAGTATTTATTAATTTATTTATTACTTGCAATTATACTATAATATTATATCTTTATTCTGATATTTAAAAAATATTAAAATATTTTATAGATTCTTACAAAGTAACTAATTCATTATTTATTATTTTTTTTTATAGTGATATAGATCTACTTTATTAATAAAAAAACTCTTTTCGCTGATCCCTTGACCACACACAAAAAGATGTTCACAAGAAATTTTTTATTTCTTTGCTAATAAAGTCTTAACACTATCCTTAAAACAACTTGAAGTTT